ACGTTTTTAAAATCGCATCCGTGCTCTATTACCATTCATTTATTGCATTGTAACTGTGGCAGGGGTAATACAAGGGAATAAGCTCTTTTTGTGGCACCGTCGTCACGTGTAACGGACGTTATAACAAACTTAAAACAACGAAGAGAATTATTATTAGTGTCGAAATGAATTACTTCTTTATTCTTCGGCGTCTTGTTCCAAAGTGGCAAGAACCGCCACGGACACTACAAGTAAAGAATTCTCAGAACTTTTCCTAACCAATCGAATTTCATTTTACAAATCAACTTCAAGTAAAATTCCGATAACTGACCAATGAGATCTAACCTAACATGACCGGTTTGAGTGACCACGTGACCTGTTTCAACGCATCTGTTTAAACGTGTCAACACTAGCATGACGTTCACTGAGATATTGTGACGCAATCGAGTCCCATAATTGCAGGCTTAATAAAAAAAAAAACCATTTCGTTTGAAGGAAATGAAAATAAATCCTGACGCTAATTGACTAAAAGGGTACACTAACAGACAAAAAGGCTAATAAGAATGCGAAACACCTTTGGCCGAAACTTGTTAAGATATCTTTTTAAATAGTTGTTTGACAATGATATACTGAATGCCGTTTTGCTGAAGGATTTTCTTGAGAACATTTCCTAATCCTGATGTTATGTACAATTACTTTGAGATAAACAACTTTAGAGAATAACTCTCACTCTACAATAAAATATAAAAATTATATTAACTATTTTTTTCTCATTCTATCATAATATCTATACTTAAAAAACATACTGCAAGGTAATGAACACTGGGAAATAACTATAGGGACGACAGAAAATCTAACCGTTAGAATATCTATTCCAGCTGTTGCTAGAGGTCAGAATTCATTTTCTGAAACACTTCACTCCCTCTTATTTTTTTAGATAAACATATAGTTATCTGGGATGTTCATACCACCTTCCACGCCTTATGAAAAACTACATTTTTTAATAGATTATAAAAGAATCAATAATCTGTAAGAATGAAATGGTCGTAATTAATATAATATAATATATAATAAATATGTATCAAAGAAAACGTATATCAGCTGGTGTGTGGCCTCGACATGTAAGTGTAGAAGTATAAACATTATTCATTTTACAACAATCGTGGAAAAGTTATTTCAACTTATACATATCCCTCTTTTTGGGTCGGATGTAAGTATGATTTGTTTATAAATTATCTAAATTTTAGTGCACATGTCAGCATAGATATGGTCACGTGAATTGGGTGTAGTCGGTGTGGCGGTGCTCATCTATGTGTCGGTGCCTTATGTAACTTATGTGACACTTTTTTGTACCATCAGATCTAATACCTAGCTAAATATGGTCTACTTATCTGACCTGTACCATGGGTATGATTGTTCACTCCTCATACATACCCCTGTATGTATACACTTATTTAAATACACTTGTACAAGGAAACTTAACCGGACTTTCTTATAGATACAAAGCACACATTGGCATTAGGCTTTAGATATCCCAGGAAAAAAAATCATTCAAACAATATACCCTGATTTTTCAATGGGATTAGTTTTCAAAACATTTTCAAAAATACATTCCCAAGCGGGGAATCGAACCCCGGCCGCCGCGGTGAGAGCGCGGAATCCTAACCACTAGACCACTTGGGACATACTGTAATCAAGTGATTGATTTGGCGCCTTTCCAAAGCTGTACTAATTTATTATTATACTGATGTTGGTAATAGTAGTTTGAAATAGCCAATAAGAAAAATTGAACATAAGCAGTGTTAAGGGATCATACTAGTACGCACAGGATATGCTACACAATAAAACCGTTTTGTTTTGTAATATTACTGACAAACTCTATTGTTGTGAATCTTTATACAAGGAGTATATATGATGTCCGTGCTTTGACCGGGTAATCTGATTAAGCTTAAGATTAGTATGGATACGCCTTACTCCGTGATTCAATAAATCTCTTATGACAGACATGTACATGTGTACGACTGACAGTAATGTCACAGATTTAAACCCTATATAACCAATCTAAGCTTATTGAAACTGAAAAATGGCATACTTAACTGTTCACAAAGCAGTCATTTTCAAAACTCTTCTTTAAATTTCAAAGTCAAAGCACCGCGAGACGGAGCAGTAGGTACCGAGTAATATCATCCTTAACTTTTTATGTTCTTTTGCAGTTAAGAGGAAGTTTCCATGTCAGTTACTAAGAAGATTAAACTTAATCAATTGAGGTTTTGCCATTTATTTACGTGTTCGTCTCCAGAACATCACTTTGTTCGCATCTAAACTAATATAATGAAAAACAATGTGTACCAAATTTAGGGAAGACAACCTCTTATTCACAGAAGTATCGCCCTTTGTTAAAATTTGGTGGCCAATAAACCAATAAAGTTGTTTTCGGGAGTTTTCATCAGTGTCTTATTATTTTCTGTACCTATATCGTGTTCATACTAGGATAAGTACATAAAATTTATTCCTTTAACCAAAACAATTTTAAAATTAGATGAAGCATAGCCAAATAACTTTTTAGTTTTTTTTTAGTTTAAACATATTTATTGCCAAAATAACATAGACAAGAGGATCGGGCACAAGTTATTACAACATTATTTAAGCCCTCTCCTCAAATATGTATAACGAATACAAATATGGCTTAACTGGATAACAAAATTAGTATAATAAATAATAACTTATTTTAACAAGAGAGAGAGAGAGAGAGAGAGAGAGAGAGAGAGAGAGAGAGAGAGAGAGAGAGAGAGAGAGAGAGAGAGAGAGAGAGATTAATGAAATATTCTCTTTCATATAAATCTATTGAAATCTATTGCTGGTTTTTATAAATTTGTGTACCCTTCTGAAAATATCAATGTTATTTTGCAATGGTAAATCAGGATTACCCGACAATAATAAGTCTACATCGACTTCAATATCTAGGTTCAAACCCTGAAACATAACAAGCCTCTGGTGTCTATAGAGCGGATAACTATGTAAACTGCATCCTATAATTTTCTCTGAAATAAAAACAGAATAAAAGTAATGGATTCAGATTCGACCAATACCATAAAAAAGAGGAAAAAAATGAAATTTTTCACCAAAGAAATAGTAATGATAATAAAAATCAAGAAAATAGATTTTTTTCAGGGTGAAAAGCAAGTCAATTATCGTAAACAAATCGTTACAATTGTAATAGCAAATAAGATTGGCAATTTTACAAATAAGAGTGAAAGTAATCATATGTGACAAAAGTATGAACCACCCATCAAATAGCAATGTCTGTGTAGTTTAAACGTATTTTATTTGAAAAAATCAAACGGAATTAGACACAAGTGTAAACAACATACAATAAATATAATGGTGGATATTCAAGATATATTGAAACGTACAAATGGAGATATTCATCCTCTCTTTATCACATTTGAGGGAATTTAATTTTCTAACACGTTGGCAAAGTCACATTATGAATATATTTTCACGTGTGTACAGTGTAAGTATTCATGATACAATATTTAGTGAACTGTTTATTATAAATCATAGTGAACATACACGTACACATATACAAGTGTTTAAATAAGGTTTTCGGCATTATATAGATATTAATATTCTATAAAACTTTTCATATTTGTTTAGATTTATTTAACACTAATGAAAAACGATTCTTTGTTTTAAAATAATCTTTTACATACAATGGTACAGAAACAAATATATTAGTTAAGTTTCTAGAACCATACAATATTACCTGTGAAATCAAATTGAGATATCATTATTTTATCAAAACCAGTGAGAAAATAAGACGGGACATTTTGATGACGACACTGATACTGTTACCCTTATCAGACAAATGACCAGGGTATTGTGTTTTCCCATTCCGCTATATACAGATGTATTTGTACAATTTGTTAGCAACAGGAAGACAAAACACTGCACGTGATAAAACAAACATAAAATCAATAACACGTGTTTAAGTAGGTTATACTTCCTATATATATATATATAAACAAGGTGATTATCATTTTATGATTTAGAAATTAAAATCTGCAAAAGTAATTTAACAATGAATAAAGAAGATGCAGATACATGCTATTGAAACTGACTTCAGATGCACGGGGTAACAGGTATGTGGAAATATCCAAAAATAGATTATCACAGAATTTGGTGTACTCTACAATTTGAGATACATAAAAATGAAGAAATTGCAGATTTGAGCAGGATTCAATCATAAATACAAAAATGTATATGAAAAGAATGAACACATGTGTATAATACATAATTCTATGGTTAAAAAAACTATTGTACTTCAGCCTTAGAACACAGTTATTGTGGAGTCAAAAGACTGATAGGTACTTCACGAAAATAACATTTTAAAATGATGTTGTAGTTTACCCTTTGTAACACGATGATATTACATATTTGAAGAATATTGAGAAGTACTCAGATGTTTCTATAACGTTACTCAAAAGTCCTACAAATATCCCGTTTGGTTATTTTTTTATTAACAACATCATTTGGTGTCACCGATGATGCAGAAGACGCTAAACCTTCCGGAACATCTGATGTTTTTCCTTGTACAAAGTTTGTTTCCCTCGTTTCATCTCATTTGAGTTTAGATAAGGTTCTCCTTGTGTGTTAAACCATGTGTGGACAAATGGACAATCTGTTATTTTCTTAGAATGTAAAGTACATAGTACATAGTGAATTGGAACATGTAGAGGAAACATACAATAATTAATCAAATCATCAAATACATAATTAAACTACCACGTAGGTATGAATTTACATTATCCCTTTATAAACAGTTCTCAAACCAGAAACTTTTACTTTTCAGGAAATATTGCGAATACGTACTAAGTTTATTTTTGATGAGCCCGAGTTCTTCTTTGTATACTGCAGGTGGTTAACGGATTTTACAATACCGGAAATAATGAAGTTCCATATATAAACGTTCCTTTCATTACAAATTCACTTCCGGTTAAAACACGTCACTATGAACGATTTTATGCATTTGATACCGTAATAAAAAATGCAAGACATATCACAAACATCCAAATCAAACAGAACACAAATGTGATTTTGTCGATGGCGTGGTTCACATGTTTCCATGTCACGGGTGGTTCTTCGTCAACTTCCAATGATTGAACTTCCGGTTTTTCGTCAAATATACTTATATCGGACTGTCGAGATTTCACACTCATCACTGTCGTAATCTGTTGCTTTCCGGTTGCAATTTTCCTGCTCTTCGGACGTTTCTTTTCGTCTACATTATCAAATTTCAGATGGGGAGATGACAATGTATCCGGTGACGGTGTGACACGTTCTGTTGAATTCCGTTTGCGGTTCGATCCGCAGCTGAGGCAGACGACCACGCGGCAAATCCAGCCTGGCACAGGACGGTCGTTGATATAGTACACTCGCAATCCCAGGATCGTGATTATAGAAACGAAAGAACTCATCACAAGGTCTGCTAAGAGAAAGTAGCAGAGTATGGACATTGGCTGTGAGGTCTTCGGCAAGTTGTCACCGACAAGAGTCAAGAAGACCGCTATGGCAAGCAGGACAGTAATGGCATACGAAACCCGCTCGCCACTATCAACAGGTAGGACAAAGACGAGAGAATTCAGGAAGGCCATGAACAGGATAGGTAAAACAACGTTCACAACGAAAAACAAGGGCCTTCTTTTCATGGTTATTTCCACATTGTAGTAAGACAGGCCACCAGCCACAACTGATTCTGTTTTAGTTGAAATTAGTTCCCATGTACCATGGGTTGAATAAAACGTGAGGTCGGCCTTTTCGACAGAAGAAAGGAACACGAGTTCTGAGCTAGGTGCCCCCCATGGCATAATGCGCAAAAGACATTTCTGTGTGTCAAATGGATAATACGTAACATCAATGTCACACGCGCTACTCATGACGTCACCAGGAGACCAATTGGCATTACCCTGGAAGTCATATCGAATCTCCATGAAGTCTTCACCGACTTTACCTACGGAAGTGAATGGGTTGACCAGAATGATATTTGGTTTCCAGACCTGCTTTCCGTTAAAAGGAAGATAAAACGTGGAGTTATACGCAAAAGGGTTCCATGTCATACGACGGTCCACCCACGTGACAGACATGAATGACGTCACAGCAAATTTTCCAGTCACTTCATCGAAATCTCTTATTCCAACCAGGAAAAACGTGATGTTGACATAGACTGGTTGGTAGATGTCTTCAGCAGGCCAGACGTACTTATTGTAACCTGTAAGAAGATCCGACTGTAATTGTGTGACATCGGTCATAGAAGCACCCCAAACTAATGACGTCATCAACAATAACGTCAACACTACGACGCTCACAACATTGACGGTCTTTGACGGTCCGATCATTTCGTAAGACATGTCGTAAAACAAGATGTAGCCGATATTGTTTACAAGGAGGGTAGCATGCTCTCTCTCTCCTCTATTGTACTATAAAATACAATTGTACATTACACCGTGTTCTCGTCTTTGTGAATCTATAACGGATATGAAGTATGTGAAATCGTCTTCACGGAAAAGCCTTTAAGTAAAGCTTTAGGTCCTTTCCTTTAGTATATACTCTAATTCCTTGTATCAACACGTTCACTACAACTTGTTTACGGAACTAATAACACTCGGAAGGCCTGTTGTACATTACTTTCCTTTGTGGTGTATATCAAAGTCCATTTACATAGGTAAAAATAACGTGAGTCTTCTCACGACGATAACTGACAGAATGGTGCCATAAGACCTGTGTCTTTGTGTAGAAATACATTGTACGTCAATATCAACAGTAAATAAAAAGTTTAATAATCCATATCGATCACGTAAATCAATAGCATCCCTGCAACCAATTCGCTTGTAAATTGAGTTCTTTTTTTCTTGTATTAAAATCCCGTCAAGATATATTACACCGTCAGTTCTTTTTAAATAGCATCGGTATCAATGTCACTTGTCAAGAAAGTGATATTCATATATCGAGAACATTCGATGTGTCACCGCCAAACTTCATGTGCCGTATAGCTATTATTTCAAACTGACGAAGTCAAGTGAGAAACACTCCTGACAGGCCAACCAATCCGATCCTCCCATCCGTTATATTGATTGCTGATAATTAAGATAGACAGGGATATTTACAATCAGAAGTACTTGAATGTATAATTAAGAAAACCGAGACGGTAACCAGCCAGCTTTATCATTAAAGTTAAAATGGTCGACTTAACTCTTACACATAATAAACATACTCGTTCGTTGTACCGGGCACGAATATATATCCTCACCCGAATAAAATGTATTTTTCACAATTATCTGGTTATCTCGACAGAGATCTGAAACCTATACCTCTGGTTCCGGTGTTTACAAACTGATCAATCTAACAATGTCAATACTGCAATGTAAATGTATACACTTAACGAACAAGTTATTAATTTAACAACGTTTCCCGAGTAATTATAGTAATAGCTTTTCTTCCACCGTTTGGTCCGGCTACACGGAGTTGTCAGGCCAGCGTGTGATCGAGAATCAGAGCACAAACACGTGTCTGAATATACAAGAAATGTTTATTAAACGAAGTACATCGGCCTCTTTGGATTAGTTTTTTTGTATGGGTGACGGAGCAGAAGGGTAAATCGGACAGACGGACGAATATATTTACGGCCATACATAACATGCGATCGGGTCCAACTGATAAACGGACATATTGATGGGCGAGAGAAACAGACAAACTTTACAGTCTGACATATTGAGGGGTGATCGAGCGGAGAAGTACATCGGACTGACGGATACACGAATTGAATTCCTACTGAAGGACGACCTGACGGACGGAAAACCGATTGGTATTGATGACGGACGAACAGACAGATGGATTACTGAGCGAATAGACAAACATAATGAACAAAAATATTGCATTGTTACCGAAGGACTCATATAGCAGACGGGCGGCCCTTCAAATAGATACACACGCTATCGTGTTAAACGTATGGACAGCCAATGTGATTTCTATCACCATAACTATCAATAATGACGATGGCGTATGCCTGACGTTTCATCTTTTCGCTTTGTTGCTCGCGAAAAGATACAGGGTGCAAAACGATATAACGAAAAGACGAAAATCCCCTAAAGCGAAAAAACCGAACAGCCTAAAACCCGCCAAAACAAATTAGCGAAAAGACGCCAAACCGTAAAGGTAAAAAGGACATTATTTTTTATCCCATTTTGGCGTCTTATCTTTCTTTCGTTTTCGTGGATTTCGTCTTTTCGAGTTAAAAGAAAAGAAAATCGCTTCGGTGGGCTTTTGTTTTTTTTCCTTTTAACTGACTTTCATATTTCCGTTATTTCACATTTTACTCTGCGTCTTTTCGAGGGCAACAAATCGGAAAGACGGAATATCAGGGATAAGACACTATATTTGTAACTGTATTTATATCAGCGAAATGGTGCGGAAGGTGATGGAAGAACCCTCTAAAAATATCATGAAACATTACGGGAAGGTAACCTGAAACAGTGTGACAAATTCAATACATAATCAGGTCGGTGTTTTTCCCCGGGAACTCCTGCATTTCTCCACCAACCAAACAAAACCAACGTCCTGAAATAACCCTGGTTGTGAATAGGAAGTAAAACAACAATAAATAAAACAGTTACAGTTAAATCAGGCGCAACAAATGTTAGTCGCGTCTAATGGGCAAAATAATGAAAACGCTCAGAATGGAAAGTATAAACGATCCGATAATACCAGTGACACGGTCCGGTACACTAGAAAGGGGTCTGTATCGATTCTATTCTTAGATCTGAGGACAGTAGTGACGCCCAGTGGTACAAAGAGAAGGCGATGGATACTGTTTCAATTATCTATGGAGAGTAGTGACAACCATCTTTTTTCAGGGAAGGCGAAAACATTTGTATATATTCTGTTACTATCTATAGATCAATGGACGGTATCAACACTCATCTATACTCAGGAAAGACGACAGCAATTGTATCCATCATATATCAGTGATCAGAAAAAACATTGATACAGCTTTGTATCCAGTCAGTAATTAAGATAAATCAGGACAACATTACTACAGCTTTGTATCTAGTCAGTAATTAAAATAAACCAGGATGACATTGATACAGCTTTGTATCTAGTCAGTAATTAAGATGAATCGGGACAACGTTGATACAGCTTTGTATCTAGTCAGTAATTAAGATAAGTCAGGACAATATTACTACAGCTTTGTATCTAGTCAGTAATTAAGATAAGTCAGGACAATATTACTACAGCTTTGTATCTAGTCAGTGATTAAAATAAACCAGGAAAACATTGATACAGCTTTGTATCTAGTCAGTAATTAAGATAAATCAGGACGACATTGATACAGCTTTGTATCCAGTCAGTAATTAAGATAAATCAGGACAAAATTACTACAGCTTTGTATCCAGTCAGTAATTAAAATAAACCAGGATGACATTGATACAGCTTTGTATCTAGTCAGAAATTAAGATAAGTCAGGAAAACATTGATACAGCTTTGTATCTAGTCAGTAATTAAGATAAATCAGGACAATATTACTACAGCTTTGTATCTAGTCAGTAATTAAAATAAACCAGGATGACATTGATACAGCTTTGTATCTAGTCAGTAATTAAGATGAATCGGGACAACGTTGATACAGCTTTGTATCTAGTCAGTAATTAAGATAAGTCAGGACAATATTACTACAGCTTTGTATCGAGTCAGTAATTAAGATAAATCAGGACGATATTGAAACAGCTTTGTATCGAGTCAGTAATTAAGATGAATCGGGACAACATTGATACAGCTTTGTTTTCTTCAATTTTCAAGATGAAACTAAATGATAACACACAAAAGCTATGATATGTTTGTTTAGATTGATATGAGAATAATTAACATCTGTTAAACACTCCCTTTATACCTATTTATATCTGTTGTTAATTGTTGCTGGCCAAGTACAAAGGCATTGAGATATCAATCCATAACGATTTCATGACGTCTGTTGGTAATAGTATCATCATGGTCAAAGACCTCGTCAATACATCATCATTACTGAATAAAACCTCATTAATTGCAAACGAGATCAATTTTCCTTTTTACCGTTTCTACAGAACCTCATCAAAGAACGTTGTATCATTGCTTTAGCGAAAATGTACCTGGAATATATTGACTATGTCAATATTAATTATTTTCGGATTACTGTGATCAAGATAATCTGTGTTAATTCTTTGTGTATATCAGTTAGTCGGTACTCCCGGATATTAGGCTTTGGTCTGGTGTGAATAGGTCTTTTTTAAGTCTTCAGTATCGTCAATTTTCTGTATAACAGGTGTTGCCATCCATCATCAGCGAGCTCGATGAAACAGACCTTCCATTGGCTGGCGAATAATTTCAGAAATTATACTGATATGATAGGAACATAACAAAATGATTTTTTGTTTTTGTAATATTACTTTTTTATTATACGTGTATTTGTTTACTGTAAAATATTAAAATAAGAATTATTTTTTAAAAAGTCAATACTAGAATGTCGTTCATGAAAGGAAACATGGAACCACATTTTCTGACAATGGCACCAATTCTATCCTGACAGGGAACACGAGGTCCTTAACAAGGTTGTCGTGATTTATTTTAATTGCTGACTAGATACAAAGCTATATCCATGCTGCCCTGATTTATCTTAATCACTGGCAAAGCTGTGTCCATTTTCCTTATTTCATATCGATTATTCTGTATACTGTCAGGACTTGTGTTAATTTTTTATTTTCGGACATCTGTACACAAGAGAGATAGTAAACAACATGGCTAATAAAAGTCTATATTAGGACATGAATCAATCGTTGGGTGGTGATATAGATCTTAACGATGCTCGGTATATAATGATCATACCAGACCTATAAACACGAGTTCCAGGTATTAACAATATTATTGAATATCGCTTTGGTCGATGTCCGGGGCTAAGAATTGAGTTGGTCTTTGGCCAAATTCATTCGCACTTCATTAACTTTGTCCCAGGTCACATCTTCATGTCCGTGATAGTAACAAAAGCAAGATTCAATTTCTAAACACGGGGATAAAGCAATAATTTGATACCGGCTTATACTACAGTAGTGTTGCTGTGAACAATCAGCAGAGCTTGAAATAATACTAGATGGAACTATAAGAGATCTATAAGTAATATGGTTTCTACCTCTACAATAATTATTTCTGATTTTTTTATTCTATAGATTATCACCGCAGTTGCCAAAGCTTGATGCTGTTTTGCATCTTTGATGCCAGATTTTTGTATAATCAGTTTTGATAACCATATATGGTAATTCTAAATCAAACCAATTACAGGAGTAATAATAAGGTATTGTATGAGTATATGTGT